GAGATGACATGGCCTTTCACCTGTGGCCAGTCTCAAAAGGGTTAAGTGCTATTATGCATTAAAACTTCAAAAGTTATGGTTTAAATTCCAAAAGTTGTCAAAGCATTGAAAATCAGTAATTAAAACCAATCAACCAGAAAGTTACTTCTTTGTATAAAAATTGTTTATGTACTAGGTCTCTTTAAATGTACGTTTTAGAATATTGCTAAAGTACACAACAAAGGTATGGTACCTTAAGGTCAAGATGAGCAACAGACTGATCATGCAGATGTTTTAACCCAAGTAGAATCTGCCTGATAAAACCTGATGTTTCTTCTTCACTCAGGAACTCTTTCTCGGATACAAACTGAAATAGTTCTCCACCTTTCACTCTAATAATAAAAACATGGTAATAAAACAAAATTGGACATTTCTGCTAAGGTGGGAAATCAAAAAACAATAAAATGAATAATATTTGTTTGTTCTTACAATATTCTTAGTCTTGTACTCATGATAAATCAAAATTGTTTCAAACACAAAAGTTTACAACTTCTTTCTGAAAATGATAAAAGTTTTATATAATGTTCAACCATGTTTCTAAATGAGAACTTCATTTTGATTGACCGATAAAAAGGAATTTTTAACTGCACACACCAAAGTGTTATTTATACATCACTAATGAAACATTTCAGAAAGAAAACTTATATTTAACAGTAACAACTGTAATCACTCAGTAATACTACCCTGGAAAAAAAAGAAAAAATTCACACAGACAGACATACACACACATTTTCTACATATATGTATAGAAATAAGAAAAAAATGTTTCAGACTACATTACTAATAATTTTTTACATTAAGATCAACTTCAAGTGGATTTTTTTAGATATCATAATTTAAATGAATAATTACAAAGTTAATTGTGATTATGTTAAATGTCCATAAAATTTCACAGACAAGTTTCCTATTGAAATAACAAACATATGAATTTGTTTAGTTCTTTACTCTTCAATACAATATTATAAACGTAAATATGCTTAGTTCATTTTTTATCTCAGTGTGTTTTAGTAAACATCAGCACCGCACCAATGACATTATTGTCATTTAAAAAAGTATGAAATGATTTTGTAAAGGTCAAAAGAATGAATAACCCATCAGTCCATACATTTTTATGGAAATTTAGAATGATAATACTATGATATGTATATAATGATTTAAATATTTTAACCTACTTTCTATTGTGTTAGGGTTATTAGCTTAATAATACTAATACTAAACTTTATTTTTATAAAGCTATGGATAAAATATATCAACAAATAAAGATATTCCAATATTATATATCATGACTGTACAGTTATTCATAAAATAAGTTAAAAAACGAAAAAAGAGCAAAGTTATATATTTTAATAAAGTAGTTTAAACAACTTTATTCAATTATGTACCAGCTGCCTAGTGTTGGCTAACAATACAAAGAATTAAACTGTGGCGGAATGCTACAAGTTCTTTAAATACCGATTGGTTTCTTTTTTTTGAGTGTAAAACACTTAAATACACTATTTCGAAAGTTATATTTTATTAAAAACACCCATATACCATTTTCTAACTGGCAGACAACTTTTTTAGATGTAACACATTAAATGCATTAATTAAAACACAAATAGGAGTGACAATTCTTGAAGTAAAGCTAAATTGTAATTACTTTGGTTCATCATTAAAATTTTGCTAATCAAGGGATTAAAATTCAAAAGGTGAAAGTTGTTAATATATATATATTGACGATACACTTCTAGTAAGTAAAGTAATGCAATGTAATAAATCAGTTAGTCCAAACAGAATGAACAAACGTTTTCACTTTGTTGTTCACGTTCTTGTTGCTCAACTATGATAAAACAGTCACACTATTTCGTTTTTACTTGGTACATAATATAGTATTACACTTTTTGCATGCCTTTTAATATTCAACAGTTAAGTGAAGACATAACTTTACCTGATAGACATCATTTACCTCTATTAATACAGTTTTAACAAGAAAAGGTTAATACTAAGAATCTTTTAACAATTAAAATATCAAATTATTGGAAACATCTCTTAGCTCTGGATAAATGTTAAAAGTGCCCAATATTAAAAATACAAGCTTTTCAAATAATGTCCTATTTTTACCAGTAATATAATCAAAGAAGGCACAGATTATGTTCCCTTTCAAACATGACTGGGCAATAACTTATCACTTACATTCAAAGTAATATTATGTTCTAAGTCAGAAGGTCTTAGGTTTTAAAGTTAGGTCAACATACTAAACATGAATTGGTTTGGATGATGCATTACATCCATTGTACTTCAACATATATAGTTTAAGTGTTTTTTTGAATTTAAAAGATATATAAAATATTAATTTTAGTGCTTAAGCTCAACATCGAAACAAAAGCAATATAATATGATACTGTTACGTCTCAATTTGGTAGAAATTTTTGGGAAATT